TTACATAAATACCACTCAATTCCTACCTATTTACAAATCTAATAAATAAACTTTACTTTGCACATATGTCACTTTAGGTATGCATGAAAAAGATGTATTTCACTTTGTAAAAGTCGGAAGGCAAATATGTAAAAATAGAAGTTTAGGTGTTAGATATGTAAATAAGTCGAGAATTGAGTGGTATATATGTAAATCTTTCAAAATAAAAAAAAAATAACATCCCCATGCAACCACCTTCCATGACAAATAATAAATGGTGCTTCATAGAACAGCTTATAAACAAAACTACCAAATAAAACCTTATTAGTACGCAGTATTTAAGAGTAAAGTGTCAAAATGGTCCTCAATTATTTACATGTGCTCTTTTTAGTCCCAGAATTATCAAAATAGTCCCCACACTTTTTAAATTGAATTTGAAATAATCCTATGCAAGACTAGTAGAGCTTAATTTTAAAATAGTATGGAACTATTTTGACACCTATAAAAACTCTAGGAGTAAAACAGTCTCATGTAAATGCTCGGAGATTATTTTAGCAGTTTAGTCCGGTATTTTAGGTGAATTATTAAAATTAAATAAAAAGGCATAATAAACTTTATTAAAAATAAAGTTTGATTTGGGGAATTTACATACAGAGCACCCAATTATTATTTATTTACATATCGCACGTCCGGACTCTCATTTTTACAAACGAGGCACCAAACTTATATTTTTCAGCGCACTCCAACAGTCTGCATTTTCATCCATAGGCTGATTTTGTAAAAATTTGAGTTTCGGTGTGAGATAGGTAAATGCACAAAAATTGGGTGTTCTGTATGTCTATTTCAGTTAATATAAATAATTTTATTATTATAATGCAGAGATATATTTTTTTTTTATTTTTTAAATTGGCTCGACCACATAATTTCTAACTCCTAATGAGTGCATGCTCTCAACTAATTCTTTTCTTGTTTTTATAATATATATTTTATAAAAAAATTATATTTTTTATAGACGGAATAAAAGATGAAAATTATAAACTTGTTTTACGAAAAGGCAATGTTAGGCATGACTCATATACTATATAAGGGATAGATCCTAGATCGGAGCAGAGTGGAGCAGAAACATCTGTTCAATGGGAGGAGTTTTTCGTTATGTGGGTTGGGAGTGCGGGGGCAACCCCCGCGGTATGGTACAAAGATAATTCTGTAATTATATATTGTACTTTAGGGTTATATATATGTTTGTTTGTAATCCTAGGGCTCATTCTATATAATATACTTTTTTTCTGAATTGAAAGAAAGTCGTTGCTCTGCTCCCGATGGCGTAGGCTTCTTTTCCGAACCTCGTTAAATCTCTGTGTTTTCTTCTGGATTTGTGTCGATTCTTGTTTTTCTTCGCTCTAATTTCTTAACAAGTGGTATCAGAGCGAGCTTGTAGGGCGGAAGAGATTTTGGCGCAGGAAGGACGAAGAACGATTCAGGATTTGGCAGAGGAGTTTGCGGCAGTTTCTCGGACGAGTTCGGGAACCGTGACCAGGCGGCATCAGCGATTCCCGCAACCAGGCGAAGGCGAAGTTCGGAGCTCTGAAGGGTTTCGACGAGGGGTTCACAGAAGTGTTCTGCAACAAGCTCTGCGAGCTTCGCGCGACACAAGAGTTCGACGACGTAGGGTTTTGCAAGCAGGATGCGATTCATAGAGGAGCCTGACAAATAGTTTGCGACTTCTTCTTTTTCTCGAAATAACAGCAACAACTCGAGAAGGAGTTTCGGCTTTTGCGAAGGACTACTAAGAATTTGTATAAATAATTTTAGATGACAATTTCTTGTGCAAAATTAGAAGTGATGAAGTTTGACGGAACTAAAAACTTCCGATTGTGGCAAATAAGGGTGAAAGATTTATTGGCACAACAGGGAATCTTGAAGGCTTTACGGGCAACAAAACCAGATATCATGGAGGATGAAGATTGGGAAGAATTGCAACAACGAACGGCAGCAACCATATGCTTATGTCTGATATGTGAGGTTATGTATCACGTAATGAATCTAAATTCTCTAGAAGAGTTATGGAAGAATTTGGAAACTCAATTTATGTCCAAATCTCTGACGAATAAATTGTATCTGAAGCAAAAGCTATATGGGCTGAATATGTAAGAAGAATGTGATCTGACACAGCATGTGAATAGCTTTAATCAAATAATCACAGAATTATCACGGCTTGATGTGAGTATTAAGGATGAAGACCGAGCAATGATTCTGTTATGTTCATTACCCTCTTCTTATGAACACCTAGTGACTACTCTTACTTATGTGAAATAAACTATCAAAGTTGATGAGATCATTGCAACATTGTTGACTCACGACCAGCGGAATAAAAATGCAGGGGAAAGCTCTCAAGATGATAGTTTATATGTCAAGGGTAATCAGGATCATGGAAGAAAGAAACAGAAGAAAGGTTTTTGAAGGAAAAATTACATATCAAAGTTTAAAGGCAAAAATACGATTCATTTTTATAAGATCAAAGTTTATTTAAGTGATGATAGATGCGAAAATATTGTTGGTATTGGTGAAGTCAGAATTAAAATGTATGATGACACTGCTAGAATATTGTGTGATATCAGACATATTCCAGATTTGAAGAACAATTTGATTTTTTTGGGCACTCTACATATAAATGGTTTCATTCCTAAGACAGATGAGGATAGAAAAATCATCATAATTGTTAAGGGTACTGACTGTGATGAAAGGAATGTTAATTGCATGTGAGATTTACAAACTGTTGGGGAGTACAGTTGTGGGTGGAGTTCATTCTGTTGAGTCGGATGATAATAATACAAAGTTATGACATATGCATCTGGTCATTTTAGTGAAAGTGAGATGATTGAATTGCACAAAAGAAATTTGTTGTATTGTGTTAAAAGCTACAAGCTCGATTTTTATAAGTTTTGTGTTCTTGGAAAACAGACTATAGTCAATTTCATTACTGGAAAGCATAAAACTAAAGGGATTCTTGATTACGTGCATTATGATGTATGGGGCTATACCAATGAATCATCATTGGGAGAATCTCTGTATTATGTTACATTTATTGTTGATTTCTCTAGAAAAAGTTTGGGTGCAT